CGGCCCGCGGGCCGGTCATTCCACAAGTTTTGAAAATTAAAAAAAAACACAAAACACAAAACACATACCCTTATGTGATTTCTTTTCGAATTGTATTGAGAGCTCAAAATTTGGCTCAAAATGACAAAATTTTTGCTACCGGGCCGGCCCGGAATTTTACAAGTATGGAGGATCGCATATGGATCGGGTCCTTTATGCGCATCATCGCCCAGGACCTGTGCAGCCGTACTCGAACCCCCGTCTCGCGGGTAAAAGTCAGGTGCGCTAGCCACTACACCACAGGACGACCAAACGAGGAAAGGTGAGGTTGGCGTACAGGTACGCGGGCTTCCTCATCCCTTGTCGTCTGCCGACAGTGTTAAAAAAGCAACGGGTTCTATACGCATAGTATTGTTCTAGATGGCAGTGCAGAGCGTGGCGCAGGAGCTAAAGCTCTTGTTTTTAAATATGCCATCTCGCAAGTTCGATTTCTTTGGGTGTCAAATTCTTTTTTATTCTTTTTATAAGCATTTATAACCATTTTAAACTATGTATATATAGATTTTTTGCATTTCCCCGCTGATCTAGGTTTCATAAATCGCAAAAATAGCCACTTACCTCTCTTCCAATCCAAAATACACAAGAACTTTCGAGAAAACTCCGGCCATTTTTGCTGTATAGAGTCTGGAAATCAGTATTGCTTTAATCAGAAAAAATAGAAAAAAAACAAGTGCTATTGATTGGTAAAATGAGGTAAAACGAGGTAGGAGATGTGCTGGGTATGCAGAATGACCGTTTTCCACCTCCGATCGTCGTTCCACCTCCCATCTGCTCCATTCTCTGCGTCTCTCTGTCTTCCAATACTATTTCTCCTAATCTGGCTATTATTTTATCTACATGAGCAGATGACGTCTTCAGAAGGGTCAAAGGGGGCAAGGACCGCTAATTATAGTGTCATATTGTCTTCAAAAAAGGACAGAGTATTAGCTACTCAATTTTCGGCACGCCAGGGCACAGAGGGGCACAGAATCCGCATCCAAACGGCACCGTGCCGCGTTGAAAGTGCCCTTGGAACACCGCACCCTAGCAAGCATGTGGCGTGCCGCTACCGTGCCGCTGCCGTGCCCTTTCTTGAACCACCTGCGCATATCGTCTCTATCCATAGTTTCGAAAATGTTGCGAAAATAGCTTGTCATTCATTTTCATAAATTTTTGTACTTTTCACCGTTTTATGGCATTTGGTTTTGTTTTTCTAGGCTTTCAGGTGGAAAATCATGAAATATATTTCTGTTTAGTTTTCAGACATTGGCTGTACCAGATGTCCCGTTGGAAGAGACACCGAAGGAAAATAGGTGAGTTGAGAGATGTTAGGTGAGTTGAAAATAGGTGAGTTGAGAGATGAATAATGATGTCGGAAATCTTTTCAGTTATAAAAGACGAGAAGGGAAGTCGTCAAACCGTGGGGGATACTGAAGAAGAAGAAGATATTTTACGACCAGCAACGATGAATATTCCAAATTAAATATGTAAGTGGGCGAGATGTGAAAAACTGAACTATTTTGAAATGACAGTTTTCAAAAAAAATGTTCGAAAGGTTAATGTTAATCCCTATGTTTTACAGTTCCGCTGATCTTCGGTGAAAAGGTGCCAGACAACTTCCGATAGATTTTCGGGAAGACAATTCGTCCAAAGAAATGTGAGTTTTCATCCAATTAGTTATGTAAATAATCTTTAAAGTTCTTTCAGAAACACCCTGCCAAGCCCAACGCCAATAAAGCTGGAGAAGAGGAGTAGGAAAGGTACTTTCATCGAAATTGGACATCTTCGACACAATCTTCTCTACAGATTTAAATGATCGTTTTTTCTTTTTTTTTTTACTCTTTTTTTGAATTTCTAATCGAATAAACTGTTAAATTTAAAGAAAATATTGAAATTAATTGAGCCAATTTTGGGGAAAGAATTTCAAATAACGGCACACATGAGAACGGATACGGCACGGCAACGGCATGCAAAATGCATGCGTGCCCCGACTTCCCCGATTACCGCGTTGCAGCGGCACCGGTGCCCCAAGTAGCGGCACATGTGCCAAAAATTTGCTGAGTAGTGCCATAATAATTAGGAGAGGATTAGCGTCCTCGGCCTACGGCCGACTCCGCAAGGCGCGGAATTACGCTGTGCCGCGCAATTAGGTGGAATCAGATGCAGGGCCTTCGGCCCTGGCTCAGTGGAATCAGTTGATCCAGGGTTCAGGGCCTTTGGCCCTGTAACATGAGAAGTTTCAAATCGAGAGGAATTAGTGGCAAAATTTTCGAAAGATTTTTCACGATAATTTACTTTTGACAAAAATTTTAGCCAATTTTTCCCAAGTTTTTGTGGTTTATGACCTATATCTCAAGAACCCAGCGTACCTGGAAAAAATCTGAAGACAAAAAATGAAATTAGGGATCTTCTTTTATGGGGAGGCAAACAATTAGATAGATCCATTCAGTGGTTTTCGCGTACCAAGAGGTGGAAGCTGGACCATCGGAAATTCGAGCATTTCACTCATAACCTTTTAAACTTTTTCATTTTCAAACAAATTAAGTCATAGTTTTTTTTTCAACATACCTATCAGAATTACGGATCGAATGGGAAAGCCGGATTTTTTATTTAGGTCCTAGTTTGGCAGAAAAAACGGAAAACGTGGAAAAAGAACCGGATCCACTCGTACGTTTTTAATCATAACTTGGTTCAGCCGGTTCAAATTTTGACGATTTTTGGTAACCGGATAGCCATAGAGATTTTCTATCGATAGAAAAAAGAATCAGCCAAAACGGACCGGAACTGACCTAGTTAGGATTATTTTGAAAAAAGTTTTATAAAATGTCGAAAATGGGGGTGGGGAACGTGATACCTAGGAAGAAGGTGGCGGATGGGAAAGGTCCCAAAAACAGGGATAAAAATGCACAGTAATACATTTCATGTGATTTCTAAAACAATATGGGTATTTTGATGTGCAAAAAATGTGAAAAGGAAGAAAATGAGTACACTACTGTAATAAAATTTAAAAGAATTTCGAAAACTTTGAATTCCGTTTTCCCCAAAGTTCGGACGATTTGAATGATCGTTGTATTTGGTTTGCATATCAGTGAACATTCAAAAATTCTGCGGAGAACTTTTCCAGACGAAATGTATCATTTATGAAATTAAAAATCCAAAAAAAATCCTAAATATCAATACGAATGCTGAGACTTTTTGAACAATCCGGCAATCCTGGACTTCAATGATGGTTTGTCCTTCTTCTCGGTTTCTTCAACAACTGGAACAAAGCATACTGGAAGCTTCTTGTAGCTGAGTTCGGATGGATAGGAAGTGACTTCAAGTGGAACATCTGGAATGTTCTCGGAGCGATGAATGGTATCCAATGGTCCATCGTAATGCTCGGAAACTGGAAAGTCGAGAAGAGATGGTGACTTTTTGAAAAATACTGCAAGAGATGTCAAGAAGAAATTAACTAACAACTTGTTTACCATATTATCAAAAATATTTTATCAGTTGATCACTTTTTGATATCTCTTACAGGAATCGAGATATTAGGGCTCGAAGTATGGTAGTTTTTTTTGCGATTTTTCTTCTCACGGTCTTCAAAATCTTCTAGAATCCCAAGAAAATCATTCAAATTTGCCATCCTATTATAATTTCAAACCTAGGTGGGACATATCAGGCTACTGTAGATGCGGGCGAGAGAGTGACGCGTAAAGAGACGCAGACAGCTAGAATTTCCAGGTGGGGCAAAGGGGTAGGTGGGAAACCAGGTGGGTCCCCCATCCACCTGGAAATGGGCGTATAAAAGGGTCCAAAGATTCTATTGGAGTATTCATCCCTGATATCCACAACAATCGTAAAGATGTTTGTTTTTTTTGGATGGTTCGCTGGATTCGGAGCTACTGGAGCAAATTCTGAAACGGATTCTGAAGAAATGTAAGTTAAAAAAAAATTTTTATTCACGTTTTTAAGAACTGTCAGAATTTTTGAAAAATTTCAGAAAAATGAGTTTTAGAATTTCCAGAGAACAAAAGAAGGAGGAGACTTCTGATGACGTGTCTTCTGGAGACATCCTCTCGGATTCAGATGAAAGTTTTGAGATGGTCCAAGAGTTGGAGATCCAGGAGGTTCCAGAAATTTCTTCTGGAGAAGAATCTGGAGAAGAAGAGGAGGAAGAAGAAGAGAGGTTAGTTATTGGAAGATTCCCAAAAATTAGAAGTTTACGAAAATTCCATGTAGATTTTTTAAATTTCGAAATTTTCTGAAATTCCAAAAATAAAAAGTATTTAAAAATCTCGAAAAATGGAAATCTCAAAAAATCAGGAAAATTTCGAAACTTTAGAAATCTTAAAAATTCAAAATTTTAGAAAATCCCAACGATTCAAAATTTCCAGAAATCCTAAAAATTGAAAAATCCCAAAAGTCAGCATTTTAAAAAATTCCAATAATTTGAAAATTTCGAAAATCCTGAAAAATTCGACAATTGCCAGAAATTTCCAAAATTTTCGAAATTTTCGAAAATTCCAAAAATTGAAAACTACAAAAATCAGAAAACTTGAAATTTTCAAGAAAAAAAATCAAAAATCATGAAAAATCTTAAAAATCAATAATTTTCAGAGAAGCAGAAGAAAAAGAAAATGAGACTGATCACTGTGATATGATTGCTCAGCTCAGAATTGGTTCAAAAATGATATCGTCGATCTTCAGGAACAAGTTTTCCAAACACAATATGAAGAGATTGCTGCGATAATTTTTGAGGAATGGAATCCTGAAGAGTAAGTCAAATTTGCCTTTCTCGAACAATTTTTAGAAACACATTGTTGGCCAAAAATGTTAATTTTGTTTCAATTTTTTTGTCGAAACGTTTTTGTCAATGTTGTGGGATTTTTTTTAAATTTCGAATTTTTGGGATTTTTTGAAGCTTCGGATTTTCGGGATTTGTAGTTTTGGGGATTTTTAAAAACTTTGAATTTTTAGGATTCCTTTTATTTTTGAATTTTTGATATTTTAAAGGTGGGGGGACATGATAAAAACAATTTTCTCGAAATTCCGTTCAAAGAGGCCCCTCGAGGAGTTGAACTTGTGATGGCGATGATTGAGGGTGCGGCGCCGCTACCGACTGAGCCACGCGGGCAAAGAGAAAGCGGTCGCCCGATTGCATACATAAAGGCGAGGACGACAGCTGTACGCAGAATGACATTAAGCGTTGTACACCGTCACGGTAGAATGCATACTCTAGCTACAAAAAAAACTACGAAAAATCTCCTGTCCCCCCACCTTTAAATGAACTTTTTAAAAATTCAGGTTTTAAGATTTTTGAAAATCTCGAAATTTTAAAGAGGGGCTCCGACCAAAAATTTGTATTGCCTTAAAATGTTTCAAAAAATATGTATTTTCCTAATATTGTTGCGAAAAAATTCAAAAAAAATCCTAAATCCCCGAAAAACTGCGTTGAAAAAAAAATAGGATTTGAATTCCCGCGCAGAGAGAAACCTAGGCCACGGCATCATAACGCCTTTCTTACATGGAAATTTTTCGGGATGTTTTTGGAGTACATGTCCGCCGGACACACAAACAACTTCCATACCGAATCTCAATCTCAATTTGCGATGCTTGACAACGACAGAAGTGTTCTGGAGAATCATCACGTTTCGAGTTGTTTCCGTTTGATGAAAGAAGACGACAAGAATATTCTGACCCATTTGACAAGAGATGAATACAAGGAATTGAGGAATATGGTCATTGAGATTGCGTTGGCAACTGATATG